TCCTCCCTCCCCAGCCCCCAGACTGAGTGAACTTTTTCCACTGCCCGCACCTGCGCAGTTGGTAACCCGGTGACTGAGGGTCAGGGGCGGCTGTGGAGCAGTTAGTCGAGGCGTTGCTGAGCCCCCGGTGAGCCTCCTGGGCCAGGGGTGCGCTCACCGTGAGGCCTGTGAGGCCTGTTTGAGCAGGGAAGCCTGGCCTGCCAGTCACTTCTCATCAGGGACCGCGTGCCGATTTGTGCTGCTTATCTCTGCTGGGTTTTCTATATTCTTTTTTGAGTGTGGGGAGAAGGGTTTTAGTAGAAGGGCGAATCCTATTTTACATAGCGGTTGTATTTATATAAATGTCTTGGTTTTTACAATTAAAGTGGCCAAAAACTGACTTCGATCTGTAGCCTCTTGAGGTTGGGGGAAGACGTGACCAGGATCCTCAGGCTGTGGTGGGTCCTGGGAGCCCCGAGGGGCGCCTGGCCAGACAGGCACAGCGCACTCACATCCTGTCCCCGTCCCCTACCCCTCCTCATTATGTCCTGAGCGTGGGCTGAGTGCAGTCGGTTGGGGCCACGTGGACACTGACTGAGACACCCTTGGTGGCCAGATTGAACTGCTATAAAGACGTTTTCAGCGTCACATAATTTAGTCCAGTTCGGAGATGTTTATTCAGCAGCTGTTGAGAGCCAGACCCCTGGAGTGTGGATGCCAAGATGAAAAAGCCACAGACCCTGCCCTCCGGGAGCTCATGGTTGCAGACAGGCACCAAACGTGGGAGCTGACGTTGCAGAGGCCAGGACAGGGCGTTCTGGGAGGACGGAGGAGGGTGGAGGGCCGAGGGCCTCCATGCCCAGCCTGGGGAGTAAATTAGGGCCTCTGGTAGACTGAGGCCTGAAAGTCAACTCTTGAGGGGAGAGAGTGATTTATCATGGGAGGGGGTGCTCCGCGCCAGGGCACGTGGGAGTAAATGCAGAGGCAGAAGTGACTTGAGGATGAGGGGGCTGCATGACGAGACCTTCAGCTTAGGTGCTGGAATCCCAGTCTCAGACCTGAAAATGCTGGACGTGGGACGAGCTGGGGCACCTGTCCTCCCAGCCCACCTTCCTCACGCCCATGCCCTCCTCAGATGGCCCGCCCAGGACACTGAACCTGGGCATCCTGGCACCTGGCCCAGTCATGTCCTCGTGAGGCCAAATGTCCAATTGTAATGAGATCTGTCACCAGAGCTGTTGTGTCAGGCTGCTGATGCCTGCCGGGACAAAGACCAGCGTGGCCGAGCAGGGAGAGGAGTGCTGTGGATTCACTCGTGACCTTAACAAGTGCTCATCAAGTTGCTGCTGCATGCAGGCCCTGAGCTGAGTGCAGCAGGGCAGATGAGAACAGGAGGTCGAGGTCACCGCCCCATGCTGACCCTCTGGTCGGGCGACTGCGGGATCTAACTGCGGATGGGGTCCTGGCCCTCTGGGACTTGAGGCGGGGAGATGGGAGGCAAAGCAGGCAGCTCCTTGACATTGCACCTGTGCTGGCCGAAGCCCCGCACCACACCAAGGTCTGCCAGAGAAGTTGGCGAGGTATACCGAGGGAGTGGAAGGGGAGGGGCGCCAGGGCCTGGAGTAGCCACGGTTTGTTAACCACCTGCTTTGCATCGTTCTCTCCTTTAATCTGCCACACGTGGTGCCACACAGCGGCCCTGGCCGGGCCTGAGCTGAGGCGGTGGGGGTGGCGCTGGGAGGGTGGGCTCCGAGGGCCACGAACCTGGCTCAGGCCCAGCTCTGCCCTTCCTGACCTCTCTGTGCCTCGGTTGCCTTCTCTGCACCAGCCTCCTGAGGGTGTTGGGAGCCTCGAGCCTGTGTCTGGAGCAGGTAGCGCCCCAGGGGCGTGTGCTCCTCCTCTGCGGTTCGTCCTCGGCAAGCCACTTCTCTTTCTCCCGTAGATGGGGCGCCGACACCCAGCTCCCTCAGCACAGGGTGGAAAGTCGGCGAGATCTAGCTTGTAAAGGGCTCGCCCTAGCAGGCACATGACACAGTGGCTCCCCATCTGTCCACTGCAGTGGACCCCTCCCCGCTCCCCTCCGCCCACTGCTCCCAGAGAGGGGTGTACTCACTGTCGAGCTGGGCCAGGCGACGGGACCGTGGCAGCTGTGCCTCCCAGCAATTTCTTTCCTTGATCTCAATCTCTTTACTTCCCTCCACTCCCTGAGGCCCGTGCCAGCAGGGGTCACCCTGACCTTCCTCACGGGGCCTCCCCGCTCCTGGCCTGTGATTCACAGGCATTGCTGACGGGCTGAAAAGGCAAGGGACAGGACGATGAAGAATTCATCATCTGTGGTGGCACATGGCTTGCAGTCTGTTGAAGGAGACAGACCCAGAAATGGGAAAGCAGGATGCATTTAAGTGAACTGCTGTAGAAGAGAGAGAGTGGGGTTCAGGAGAATGTGGGGGTTCAGAGGAGAGAGCACTCGCAGTGCCTAGGGCACAGGGGAAGGCGCTGAACTGGTCCTCAGCACTTTCCGGGGCAGGACTAGGACGGGGTGGATGCGGGGGAAGGCCCCACTGGTTGAGGGAGCAACGGCATCTGCAGAAAAATGGTGGCGCGAGGAAGCTGGGGAGCTGGCCGGGCAGCGGAGGCCCTGGGAGTGGAGTTCGTCAGAGGGCACGCGGGAGGCCCAAGGATTTGCTGGGGGTGAGGAGGAAGAGACTTCCCTGTCGAGGGGCCTCCACTTGGCAGGCTCTGGGTTCCTTCCCTCATGACCATGGTGTCCTGTGTCTTCAACAGACCTCCAAGGTGGTAGTCCCTGTCCCCACTTACAGATGGAGAAACTGAGGCCTGGAGGATGCTCTTGTCTTGCCTGGGGCCCATCTAGGAAGCAACTCAAGCCAGGACCCGAACCCAGGCCTGCCAGTTTCCATTGTCCCTGCTCTTCCTGGCACAACGGCACCCACAGGCCTTCTGTTTACTCCCGCCCCACAGAGAGCCGCGGTCCCCACCGCCTGTCCCTAGCGCCTCAGTCCATCTGGCTCCTGGCCACTTCCTCGGGCCTGCGCCTCAGCCTCTGCTCACACCGCAGCAGCGGAAGCAGCGACCACAGCCCGGCCCCGGCCCCTGCCCCTGCCCAGCCTCCCCGCTGCCATGTGTGGGGCGCGGTGGCTCACCCACTAATGCCTCTCTGCTGGAGCTGGCCGGAATCTGTGGGAGGGAAATCTACAACCTTGTGCTGACACCTCTGGAGGCCGAGTCACTGGCCCCAGCCACCCGCCTGTCCCTCTGCCTGGGAGAGCAGTGAGCACCGGCCATAGCAGAGGGAGTGAGACATCGGCCCCCACTGGAGCCGGCACGGGCTTCAGAACCATAGGCCACGCCAGAGCGGGCGGAGGCGAGGCCGCCGAGGCAGTCGGTGTGAGGAGGTGAAGGGCAAGGGCTGGGCGGGGCCCCGCGGCGGCTGAGGCAGTGGGCACGCTGCCGGGGCAGGCCGCCTTTGAAGCTCTGGGTGGCCCGTGGAACTGGCGAGTATTTCGGGTTTTGTTGGAGGCGATGCAAGGCTCCAGGAGCCCACTTAACCTGCTTCCTCCTCCTGGAGAACAGCCTACAGGCAGGCAGGGGCGTGTCCCCTTGGGTTGTGGGGTCCCAGTCCAAACCCCCCAGCAGGAGTGACTGAGCCCGAAGCGAGGCTCCTTCAGGATAGGAAGCAGGCGACATCTGATCATGCCCTGCAGACCACCCTCCCCGCCCACGTTGGAGGAGGGTGGTTAGAGTTTAGCCTAAGCTACCACCCTGCTCTGTTTCCCTTTCGCTCTCCTCATCTCGTATTTAAAGCAACCACCTCCCACCGCCAGCTGCCGCTTCCATCCTTAGAAAGGTGGGGGTGGGGGCAGAAAGAGAGCACACTCCCGAGGCAGAGGATCTGACTTAGTGTTAGTAACACGCCCATGCTGTCGGTGCCCCGAGTGTGCCAAACTATCTTCCATCCCCTCTGTGAGGGGGTACTATCAGTGTCTCCCTTTTCTGAAATGAGGCTTTGAGGCCCGGAGAGATTAAGCCTGCACAGCAATTAAGTGGCAGAGCCGGGATTCACCATAGGTCAGGCCAGTGACACCAGAGCCCCAGCTCTGAAACCTCTAGGAGTTGGCTGGTCGCTTCCGCCCCGCCTCCTTCCCAGGGTTCCTGCAGGGCACTGGGGGAAGTGGAAATGCTTTAGAGTTGGGAGGATTTGGGGCAGGGCCTGTCTAGGAAGCCATCCCCCAGCCTTGAGGATGGATGGATGGATGATGGATGGATGGATGGATGGATGGATGGATGGATGGATGATGGATGGATGATGGATGGATGGATGGATGGATGGATGATGGTGGATGGATGATGAATGGATGGATGGATGGATGGATGGATAGATGGACAGATGGATGATGGACGGATGATGGATGGATGATGGATGGATGATGGATGATGGTGGATGGATGGTGAATGGTGGATGCATGATGAATGGATGGATAGATGGACAGATGGATAATGGACGGATGATGGATGGATGATGGATGGATGATGGAGGATGGATGATGGATGGATGGATGATGGATGGATGGGATGGATGGATGGATGGATGGATGGATGATGGATGATGGATGGATGGATGGATGGATGGATGGATGGATGGATGATGGATGATGGATGGATGGATGGATGGATGGATGGATGATGGATGAGTGGGAAAACTCTCCAGGAAGCTTTGAGCAACGGGGCACACAAGGTAGGCGCATCCGTGACAACCAGCTGAGG